ACATAAATTTACGTGACTCACCTGCAATTATGGTAATAAATTTACACATACATGAATATTTAATTGCCCAACTACATCCTAGTTAAGGACTCCTCACGATAAATATCAATAAAATTATTATTGATAATAAGTGATTAGAACTGTGTGCAGCACTGGTAGAGCTCACAGCAGAGCTAACTGGGACAGTGGCTGATTTTCAGAACTTTGTGGAGGCAGATGAGAAGACGATGTTTTCCACCAATCTAATTGGGCCCATCTACCAAAATTAAGGAAATATGTGCAGATAAATCAACCGGCCGATTTATCTGTGCACCCTTACTGGGAACAGTTGGGATTCCCCAACAAGAGCTGTGAGTCTGGGTTTCCCTCCATGACCTGACTGGGATTAACAGGCGGGCAGAGTGGATGTGAAGAACATACTGGGCATATGTCCTGATGCATCTCTGTAATCCAGGTATAAAAAAAATCAAAAAGAAAAAATAAGTAGGTCTTCTGGATGGGTTCTTCTTTAAGGAAACGTTTCATCTCTCCTCCAAGAGACTTCTTCAGTCTGATGAGTTTCAGATGAACTCAACCTTATAAGCACTGCCTCCACCTGGACAAACAGGTTAGTCACATGCTGTTAGGTGATGGCCCTCTTTGGCATGTGACTAACCTGTTTGTCCACCATGTGGAGGCAGTGCTTATAAGGCTGAGTTCACCTGAAACTCATCAGACTGAAGAAGTCTCTTGGAGGAGAGATGAAACGTTTCACTAAAGAACCCATCCAGAGGACCTACTTATTTTTCTTTGATACTAGGCATACCTTGAAAGTAATTTTAATTTCAACTTTAGCATTTGCTACAGTCAAATTAAACAAGAGTTTACAGATTTAAATCTGTAAATAACTATGAGATGAAATGTAAATATGTTTAATTTAAAAAAGCACATAAAATACTTTAAGTCAAATGTAGACGTGAAAATTGTAGAAACTGAAGGAGGAAGTTTAGCTCAAAACACAACACATGAAGTTTTAAAGTATCTAGCAAAAATCTTGGCTTTCAAAGTTTTAATAACTGATCAAAGAACTAAAAAAAATCATATTATTTGCTTATTTACTGGGACACTGCAGCCTCACAGCGTGAAGGTTTTCAATTCAAATCTCAGTTTTGGCCTTTTCTGCCAGGTTCTGTAAACGTGTGCATTACCTGATTTGGGCACAGGCAGCCCCCGCTCTTTGTAGAAGTTGCTCATTCTTTCTCTTTCAACTGTTGTAAAAGAAAAAAAATAAAATGTTTAGAGAAGCAGACAGACCCGTCTTCCAGGTTTGACCATGAAAAACAAAACTTACACTCTTCTAGGAATGGAACCATTTTGTAAACGATATCTTGCAGCTGTCTGTCCGGCCTGCAGGGGAAAAGAAAAATATCTAAGTTTTACTGCAAAATCTGATTTTCCTTCATCTGGACAGGAAACTATTTAAAGGATTTCCCTACACTTACTAGTTGAACCCACCTGATGTTGTACAGAGGTTGTGTCTGGTGAACCACAATGCTGCATGTTGGACACTTGTTGCTACAGAAGAAATGCTTCACAATGCAGCATTTACAAACTTGGCAAAAAACACAGAAAAATAAATGAATTTAGTTTTTTTTTCCCCTTAAAAATATTTTTTACACAGAAAGGTTCAAGTCATGAAATGTTTGATTGAAATACAATTTTGAACACACAGGCAAGAAAAGTTTCAAAAATCATTCACAAATAACCTCAAACAAACATACAACAGATTCCACCGTGTCATTATTAACTCAACAAAAACAAAATACAAGAGCCACTCCCTGAGTTTTATTTTTTGTCGTTTCTTTGAGCATTACACGGTCTGACCTGACCTGTGGGTGAATTTGCTGTAACCTTCACTCCTGAGAAATAAAAAAATATCAATATATCTAAGCATTGCAACACTTCTTTCCCAATTCATTTTCAATTCAGAAAATCCACTGATTCAGTTCGATCCCCTGTTCAGTTTGTGGAGTTTTTATGTTTTGCAACTCCATATTTAGAACAAGTGTTATTGTGCTACTGCTTTATTTTCAAATGTTAATGTATATATATGGGCAACAAATAAATTAACCAGAATATATGCAACCTTCAGGTGAAAATGAAGACCCCAAACCCAGACCCAAACCAGTGGTTATTCCGTATGTTGCGGGTGTTTCGGAGAAACTGAGACGTT